AATGTGATTTATGTTAAATGTGATTTACATTAATTGTGATTTATGTAAAATGATATTTAACCAAAAGGTGATTTATGTTAAATGCGATTTATGTAAAATGAGATTAAAACAAAATGTGATTTATGTTAAATGTGATTTACATTAAAGGTGATTTATGTTAAATGCGATTTATGTAAAATGAGATTAAAACAAAATGTGATTTATGTTAAATGTGATTTACATTAAATGCGATTTATGTAAAATGAGATTAAAACAAAATGTGATTTATGTTAAATGTGATTTATGTAAAATGATATTTAACCAAAAGGTGATTTATGTTAAATGCGATTTATGTAAAATGATATTTAACCAAAAGGTGATTTATGTTAAATTCGATTTATGCAAAATGAGATTTATGTAAAATAAGAGTTACGAAAAATGTAATTTCTGTTGAATGAGATTTATGTCAAATGTGATTGATGTAAAATGCGATTTACGTAAAATATGGTTTACGTTAAATGAGATTTACCTTAAACGTGATTTATGTTTAATGAGATTTATACAAAAAATTGCTAATAAAAAATAAATTTAAATAAAAAAAAGTATTCTTCATTTTTCAGCAAAATTATCAATTTAAAATTAAAAGTACACATTACACGAAAAATTAATTTTCATGTTTAGTTCATTCCCGAAGTCAGTGAACTCTGTCTGTATATAAGACAAGTTTCCGGTCAAATTGTTTATTGCATTAAAAAAAAAAAAAAAAGAGAAAGAGAAAGAGGGGAAAAAATGGTATTTCTATATAGTGCCATGAAATTTGAACAGTAAACCAGAAGATTTCACGTCCATTGCATTGTATACGAACGAAGAAATTGCATTTTGTAAGAGCAGGTTGTGTATTTCGCTAAGTGCAGATCATATTGCAAAAGATGTTGGATATATCGTTCTATATGATAGCCGTAATAGTTGAGGGTAAACTTTCTAACTTTGTACACCCGCGACAAGATTATTACTGAAACGACTTCTTGAAATCGCGCGGCGCGGGTAGCATCATTGTTTTGACAGAAAACTTTATATGTATATATATTATAATCTATTTTCCAATCTTCCTTTACTAATCCGATGACAAGAACAGATTTATACACTTTAATGTAATATTCCATTTCGATACATCTTCTCTGTATTAAATAATAATTCATTCAGTGAGACGGTATAGTATTTTACGGAATGGGTCAAAATTTCTGAATGAATTCAATTTTAGATTGACAATATGTTTTGGAATTCATTTAATAATTAGACGGTAGTTTCCATCGACGGTACTTTCTGATGAAGGTAATTTCTCTGAACATTATTTTATACCAACGGTAATTTCAATCGACGGTACTTTCTACCAAAAGTAATTTTTATCAACGGTATTTTCTGTCAACAATAATTTTTACCTATATATAGTAGTTTCTACCAATGGTAATTTTTATCGTCTGTAGAATCTAACAACGGTAGTTCCCAACGACGGTATTTTCTACTAATGGTAATTTTTATCGACGGTATTTCCTATCAACAATCATTCTTATCTTCGTTAGTTTCTACCAATGGTAATTTTTATCGACGGTAGAATCTACCAACGGTAATTTTTAACGACGGTATTTTCTGCCAATGATAATTTTTATCAACGGTATTTTCTACGAATAATCATTCTTATCTACGGTAGTTTCTACAAATGGTAATTTATATCAACGATAGTATCTCTACTAACGGTAATTAGTTTCAACAACGGTAGTTTCTACTAATTGTAATTTTTATCAACTGTATTTTCTACCAACGATAATTTTGATCTATGATAGTTTTTACCAATGGTATAATGGTAATTCCTATCGACGGTAGTATGTATAAACGGTAATTTCCAACGACGATACTTTCTACGAATGGTGATTTTTGTCATCGTTATTTTTTACTAACAATACTTTTTTTACAATAGTTTCTAGCCATAGTAATTTCCATAGACGGTAATTTCTACTAACGATTTAATTGATATTTTCTGTCGACGGTAGTTCCAATAAAGAGTACTTTCATTCAATGGTCGTTATTCTATTTGATCGTTTTTATCATTGCTGGTGACAATCGACGGTATATTTGTCGTTTCTATCAATAAGTTGTAATTTATAAAAGCGACGGTATTTTTTAACAAATTTTGAATTATCGTTAAAATTTCAATCCATTGTATTTTTCATCATTGCTAATTTCAATTAGTTCAAAAAAGGTACAAAAAGAAATAATTTTCTATCTACGGTACCTTATGGTAAAAAAAACAACGGTAGTTTCAATGAGTTTATTTTTAACTAGTACCACAATAGACGGTAGTTATTTTTATGCCGACGCGAATAATTAGTTTCGTTAATAGGATAGTAGACGGTAATAAATTGATAATAGTTTCTATCGACGGTAATTCCAATCAAGTAAGATAGTACTTTAATTCGACGGTAGTTACACAATTTGGACGTTTTTATCATTGCTGGTGGTAAACGACGGTAATTATATTTAGCGCTTCTATCAATAGGTAGTATTTAATACAAAGGACGGTATTTTTCTTGAATTAGACGGTAATTTCTTGTTAATAGTATTTCTCAGTATTGCTAATTTAAATTGGTTCAAGAAAGGTACAAAAAGAGGTAATTTTCTATCGACGGTACTTTATGGTAATAAAACAACGGTAGTCTCAATGGTGTTAGTTTCAACTAGTATCATAATAGACGGTAATTTTTATTTGTTCCAATCAAGCAGTACTTTCATTCGACGGTAGTTACACAATTTGGTTGTTTTTATCATTGCTGCTAGCAATCGACGATAATATTTTGTGGTTTTGTCAGGAGATAGTAATTAATACAGAAGACGGTATTTTTCTTGAATTTGACGGTAATTTCTTGTTAATAGTATTTCTCAGTATTGCTAATTTAAATTGGTTCAAGAAAGGTACAAAAAGAGGTAATTTTCTATCGACGGTACTTTATGGTAATAAAACAACGGTAGTCTCAATGGTGTTAGTTTTAACTAGTATCATAATAGACGGTAATTTTTATTTATGTTGGTGTCAATAATTAGTAGTTTCGTTTCATAGAAGTACAATAGACGGTAATATATTGATGATAGTTTCTGTCGACGGTAGTTCCAATCAAACAGTACTCTAATTCGACGGTAATTATACAATTTGTTCGTTTTTATCATTGCTGCTAGCAATCGACGATAATGTTTGGTGGTTTTGTCAGGAGATAGTGATTAATACAGAGAACGGTATTTTTAACGAATTTGACGGTAATTTTTCGTCGACAGTATTTTTCTAGTGTCCTGAATGGTCAAGAAATCAATGGTAGTTTCATTCAATGGTAAAAATGAAATTAAATGAAATTTTCTATAAATTTCCTCGGCGGTAGTTTTATTAGACAGTGAAACTAATTTTTATCATTCCAGTGACGGTAGTTTCAATTTTTTAGTACGCGAGACGGTAGTTTTGTTCAATTCCGCTTTAAATGGGTTCTTTTTAAACTAATTACAATTAAGAATTATTTTTTTTAGCAATAATTTTTTTAGTAACAAAAATTGACTCTGAAATGTTTAGATTCCGAATGGTAGTGAAACGCAACGAATGATTTTTTTTTCCTTTTTTTTTGTCTCTTTCATTTGCTCGATTGAAACAAAAATATGAAGATATGATAAATATTTTGTAATTAAAAAAAAAGTAAAGGTAAAATTCAGGCCACGTTCGTCCTGAATAGTCGTCGTTTCTTTCAATATCGTGTTTTCTTTTACGTGATGTTGCGTCGTCGTACCGCTCGCGCTCTACTCGAGAGTAGCTAGAGAGAAAGATTGCACATCGTATCTTAATGATTTCAGTATTTTCTATATAATATATATATATATATAACTGAAGCTGTGTGTAACGAGATGGTGCAGTGATTGGTTCAAACGTTGGTCACAAGTTAAATAATTGAGATCAGCGCGGCAGACAAATCAAAGATCCGATCTCAACGGATGGAACTTAATTGCTTATTAGAGTTAATTATAAAAGATTCTGCGAAAGCTGTATGAAATTTGATGAAATTGTATAGAAGTCAAAGTAAGGCCGCATTGTTTCCGTGATCGATTAATGTTATAATACATTGTAATTTCGAGAAATTCGTATTTACGAATTTTATTCTTGCAACACTTTATTAAAGAACGATTGCTGCAGTGGCTTTTCACTTGAAAGTTTATTGCCTTTCTGTAATCACTTGATTTTTTTTTTATTTTTTTCAAAGGGTATTTTTAATTTTCATATTTTTTTTAATTACTCTTTTTGTTTGGAAATTAATTTATTTATTACATTGGTATTTTTTTAATTATTTCTTTTTGTTGGGAAATTATTTTATTTATTAAATTCTTATTTTTTCCATTACCTACTTTCTTTTGATGGGAAATTAATTTATTTAGTAAATTCGTATTTTTTTAATTATTTCTTATTTTAATTACTTTTTTTGTTGGAAAATTATTGTTTTTATTGTATTCGTATTGTTTCAAATACTTCTTGTTTTAATTATATTTTTTGTTCGAAAATTATTTTATTTATTAAATTTGTATTTTTTTAATTAATTTTTTTAGTTAATTTTTTTTAGGAAATTAATTTATTTACTAAACTCGTATTTTTTCCATTACTTGCTTGTTAGAAAATTAATTTATTTACTAAATTCATATTTTTTCAATTACTTCTTATTTTATCTAATTACTTTTTTTTAGAAAAAATTATTTTGTTTATTAAATTCGTAATTTAAAAAAAATTTTTTTGATTGAAAATTATTTTATTTTTTTAATTACTTTTTTTTGTTATGAAATTAATTTCTGTACTTAATTCATATTTTTTCAACTACAATTAATTTTTATTTATTTTTTTTTTGTTAAAAAAAAAAATAAAAAAATTTTTTTGCTTGTCAAAAAAATGTTTTTGGGAGAAAAATAATTGACAATCGAGGACAAAACAAAAATGTTCGAAATGAAGCACGCGATGTATGAATTTGTCGAGATTTTAACCTGATTTTATGGAAATTTATTAATATTTACAAATGTGGGCTAATAATAATAATAAAAAGAAACTTGCTTCAACATGGACACCAGCAACCCCATTGAAAACTCCGGATCATATTATATCATCCGATTATACAAAAGCAAAAATATTTGTACCGTCCTATGAAAAGTGAGCTTTGCATATTTTTAACGTCAACTTGTTTGCTTCATATTATTAAAAACAAAATATTGAATTTTAAATTAAATTTTATAAATAATTTTTAGAAAAATTATTTTATACATACTATCAATATAAATGTTTTCTATGAAATTAATAATTTATTAATTAATAAATTACTTAGCAGTTGTTATTTTTTAATTTTCTTAATTGTTTATTTACAAATAAATAAATTAATATTAAAGTAAATAGATTAAATAAATTATTATTAAATAACAAATAATTATTAAATTAAAATTAATATTACCATAAATAAATAGTAAAATAATTATTATTATTTTAAATTCCTTAAATTATTTCTTTATAAAGTTTAATAATTTTTTTTTAATTTAAAATTCCAATTGAAATAAAAAAAATTAAACTTTTAGAAATTGTGATCAATGTATTGAACAATTATTGACCAATGAGTATCAGAGAATTTGGTGGAAGGAGCAGGAAGCGTGGTCGAAAGTATTTTATGCAAATAAAAACCAAAGTAAACGAATACTATGTCGTGGGGTAAGAATTTCAATGACAATAATAAAAAAAAATAATTTTTATGTAGGTACAGTGAAACCTGTCGGAATGCAACTCGATTTTTTAAATTTTATTACTGAAAAAAAATCCTTAAAAGAATTAAAATTGTTTTATAATTTCATTTTGTAATTTATCTTTACAATATATTCTGGAACTAAGTAAAAATAATTGTTTGACATTTTTGAATGCAAAATAAAAAAATGAAAAATAGAATTCTATTCCTACAGGTTCAACTGTATTTTAAAAAAATTACTTTCGGAAAAAATTTTGAAAAAATTTTTTTTTTCTTTTTTTAATATTTTACATATAAAAATTAATAATTTTTTTTTACTTATTTTTAAAGCTATTTATAGTAAATAATTTTTTCTTTATTAAATTTCAAATATTCGAATTAAAAATATTAAAATAATTAAGAGTTCAAATAAAAAATTTAAATATGTCATTAAAATAAAAATTGCAACTGTTTAAAAATTTTTTTTAGAGGAATCAAAAACAAATGTCTAAATCAACAACTGAGAAATGTGCTCCAAAATGCAAAAAATCACAAAATGATGAAAGTAATTCGAAAAAATGTTGGAAATAATTGTTAGGGAATATTTTTAAAAATAGAAATTTTTTAATAAAGATTTTGTCTGTTTTCGAAAACAAGAGTTCCGAAGAGAATGAATCAAGTTTTTTAATTGCTAGAAATAATTGTTTATAATAATTATTTATTTGCTAGAAATAATTGTTTATAATAATTATTTATTTGCTACAAATAATTATTTAAAATAATTATAATAATCATTTATTTGCTATAGAGAATTGTTTATAATAATTATTCATTTGCTATAAATAATTATTTACAATAATCAATTGCAGTAAATAATTATTTATAATAATGATCCATTTGCTATAAACAATTGTTTTGAATAATAAAAAAAAATATATTCATTGTAAATTTCATCTAAATACTCATTGAAAATAATGAAAAAATACGAAAGAGAAGAAAATAAAAAAAAACATTTTTTAATAAAAAAATAAAGAAAAATAAAATTTAAAAAGTGAAAAAAATATAAAAAAATAAACAGAAGCAAATAAAATATTATTAATTTCAAATAAATAATTATTTAGTTAAAAAATAATTAATCAAAAAGAATAATTATTAATCATTGACGTCTCCCTTGAAACAGTTGATAATATTCAAAAAATTGAGAATTATAAATTAATTCAATTACTATAAAGCGAGGTTGAATTCTTTTTTTCAATCCTTGAAAATCTCAAGAGGGGTAATCAATTTCGAGTATATTAATGCTTTATTGCAAACTTACGGAGGTTCAATGTGGCATATTAACATTAAATTTATTGACTCATTAAGAGAAAGATGAAAATCTTGTTAAATTTAAAACTCATGTTATGATGAATTTTTACAAAAATTTGATTCATCATTCAAAGAATTTCTTATTAATTTCCATTATTATCATTGAATATTTTTCTTCTATTAAAAAAAAATTGAAAAAAATTTTTAAAAATTGCGCAATAAAAGAAAAACAATGAAAAAGTTGGAAAAGTAAGAGAACAGAGCTTTTTGTAATTAAAAATTAAAAAATAGAATATAAAAAATAATGCAAACAATAATAAAAAAATATGAAAAAATAAAGAACTAATAATTATTAAAAAATATACTGAAAAATGAATAAAAAACACAAATATTGTAAAATAATAAATGAATAAAAATAGAGTATTTAAAAATATAATTATAATTATATTATATTAATTATATTTTATATAATAATTTATATAAAAGATATAAAATAATTAGGTGTAAATTATGAAATAGTAATAAATAATTTTGTTTAATAACATTCTATTTCGTTAAAAAAATTGTTTTTCATTGCTTATTGTTATTTTTTGCCTTTTCCTACTAATAGAAACTAATTTTTTTTTATTTTTATTATTAAATTTTATTTTATTTATTTATTATTAAATATTTCTGTTTTCTATTTTTATTTTAAATTTAATTTTTTTTAAAATATCTAGTGACTGAAAAGCAAATTTTCGTTGTATTTTAAGTTAAGTGTCTCCATCTATCTTTTAAGAATTGAATCACAAAATTGATAAAGAAGATATCTACTTAAAAAATTTTTAAAATAAAAATTAGTTATTGAATTAACTTTATTAATTATTTTTTAATATTAATTAACTTTTATTAACTTTATGAGATTAACATTTACAAATTTTTGTATTTTAATATTTTGAAATTATTTTTTATAAACTCTCCTTTTTATAAATACCAAAACTTATGCCTTTTGTTTATTTATTATTAATTAAGTATATTTTTATATTTTAATATTTATATTTAAATTTAATGAAGATTTTACTAAAGAAATTTTTAATTTTATTAATATAATTTAATTACTCTTATTTTTCCCATATTATAAAGTAAATAATTATTGAAAATTTCTTCATTTGAAATAATTGAACTTTTGTAAAATTTAATTGAAAATAATTGATTTTTTCAAGTATTATTATTAAAATTTTTGAAAATCAACTTTTGAAGAAATTTAATTGCAAATTTTGTGAAAGTAATTGAATTCTCGATAAAATTTAATAAAAAATCTTCAAGTGTAAATTTATGAAAATGAAAGTTAATGAAATCTAGCTTCTAAAACATAATAATAAATTTTTTTTAAAAAAATGTAATTCTTAAATTTTTTTTTAAAAAATGTAATTCTTAAAATTTTTTTTATTATAAATTATTAAAATTCAATTATTTTCCATATTTTCAAAAATATAATTCCGAAAATTCAAATACATAGGTACAAAAAATAATACAAACATTAAAATTTTTCAGAATTATTATTAACATTTTGGAGAAAGCAATCATTGTGAAAATTTTAAATTAAAATTTTTCAAAAAATTATTTAGTTTCTTTTTAAATTATACAAAAATTCTTTTAAGAAATTCAATTATTTTCGAAAAATTACATTAGAATATTTTTAAAAAACTAATTCTTAGAATTGTTTTATCATAATTTTTTAAGATATATACTTATCTTCGGATAAAGTAAATTTAATTTTTTTAAATTTATTCTTTACTTTAGATTCTTATTAAAATTTCGAAAAAATCATTTTTATATTTACAATTAAAATTCTTAAAAAATTTGATTATTTATTTTATATTTTTCCAAAATTCAATTATTTTTAAAAGATTTTGTCAAATTTCAGTTATTTTTAAACGATTTTACCAAAATTCAATTGTTTTAAAAAGATTTTATCAAATTTTAATTTTTTTAAAACGATTTTACCAAAATTAAATTATTTTAAAAAGATTTTGTCAAATTTCAGTTATTTTTAAACGATTTTACCAAAATTCAATTGTTTTAAAAAGATTTTATCAAATTTTAATTTTTTTAAAACGATTTTACCAACATTAAATTATTTTAAAAAGATTTTGTCAAATTTCAATTATTTTTAAACCATTTTTACCAGAATTCAATTATTTTTAAATGATTTTGTCAAATTTCAATTATTTTTATATGATTTTACCAAAATCTAATTGTTTGGAAACTTTTTAATTGTAAATATATAATTGAATGACTATTATCTTTCAAAAATTATTTTAAAATATTTTCAAAAAATTAATTTTAAGAGTTTGTTTATTAGAATTTTTTTAAAGAAATTACTAAATTTCATTTACTTGGAAATTTTTCAGTTCTATATTATTTTAATTAAAAAATCAATTATTTTTCAAAAATTATTTAAAAGTATTTTGAAAAAACTAATTTTAAGAATTTTGTTATTACAATTTTTTTAAAAGTTAATTATTTAAAAAATTTCCATTTACTTATTTTCAATAATTCACTTTTATAATTTAAAAAAAACTGAAGAGTTAATTACAATTATTTTAAAAAATTTAATTTTTTTATTTATATAATTGATTTTACAAAAAATTTTCGGAAATGTATTTAAAGAAATAATTGATTTAGAAAATTTTAGTTAAAAAGTCTAAAATAGAATTGAATTTTGAAAGAATTAAAAAATTGAACACCTCTTATTTAAATAATTGCATTTTCAAAGAATTTTTGAAAAATGATTTTGAAAAATAATTTATTTAGAAAAGTCTAGTTCAAAATTCTAGAAAATAATTGATTTAGAAAAGTTTAATTCAAAATTCTAGAAAATAATTGAATTTTGAAAGAATTACAGTTGTAATTTTTGTAAATAGTTGGGGTATAAAATTTAAATTTAAAAAATTTTAATTTGTGTGGAAAACTAAATGACAAATATTTAAATATTTGTTTAAACAAATTATTAAAATTGTGAATAATTAAATTTTAAAATTTTTGAAAAGTCAGGGAAATACAGTATTAAATTTTTGTGACTGCACTAATTAAAATAAACAACTTTTTTAGACTCGACTATTAAAATAGATTTTTTTTTGAAAAACGTCAGAAAATAAGAAAATTTTTTATTATCTATTATAACATTATCTAAAAATTATAATAATATAATTTATAATTAAAAAAACAGGATTCTAATAAAGAAAATAAAATAGTCTCCAATTATTGAAAAATGCAATTGCAAATTTATTTTCAATGTTTTCTTGTACATAATTGGTACAAAGATATTTTCAATGAAATTTCAAAGTTTATGAAACATAATTAAATGAAATGATTATAGAATAGAAATTTTGTCATTATTAAATCGCATATGAACCATGATGAAAAATACATAAACAATCATTGGCTTTTGATTAAAAACTATGATAAACAAATGTATAAACAACAATGGTAAATTTTCGTTTTTTTTCTCTCTTCTCTCTCTCTCTCTTTTTTTTTCTTTTCGTCTTTTACAATGAAGACAATATCACTTCTTCTAAAAACTAATATAGACTTTGACAATTCATTCTTAATAATAATAATTTTTTTTTAAAGTTAAATGTTATTCGCATTTTTAGGCAAAACATAGTGAGGGGAATATAGTATATATTTTTTTTTATTAGAGAAAAAAACTAGGAATTTCGCGTCATTGCTTTTGCGGAATGCTATACGATTCTAGATTCTTTGAAAAAACGGAAATTAATCGAAAGAATCAAAAATAGGTACATGAATAATATGAAGAAAAATTAGTAAATATGAAAAAAAAAAAAAATAAACACTTACTGAAAAAAATGAAAAAAAAAGTAATTAAATGAAAATAAAAATGATAAAGTTTTGAAAAAATTATTTCGAGAAAATAATTTTCTAAATTTGAGAAAATTAGAATAATTTTCAAGAAATTAAAAAATTATTGATAAATTTGAATACATTTCAAATTTATCAATAATTATATAATATAATTATTTTGTTGATAAAAATGAGAATAGAAAGAGTTTCCATTTTTTTCTGTAAAAATACAAATTTTGGCACATTAAAAAAGATGATTTTAGTTATTTTTTTTTTTTTTGAAATTCGAAAAATATGTGAATAGTATGAAAGTGCTTTGATGGACTGCAAAAGCAAATCAAGTGATGCGTGCACAAAACATTATAATATTTGAAAAATTGTACGAATTGACACGCAATCGTGAGCCAATTATTTATCACTACGATTTACATTACGCGATCTTATTTACAAATTATATACAGAGAGTGAAACAAGGTGAGAGTTACGCTCCATGCAAAGCACAATAATTCTTTTTTTTTTTTTTACTGTAAATAATTTGCTCAATGCAGCCTTTTTCATTCTTTCTTTCTTTATTTTCTTTTTTTTTTTTTTTAAATCTTGAGATGAAAAAAAATTCTTTTCTAAAAAATTCAATACACAATTCAGAATTTGATCAAGAAACTATTATTTTTTCGTTGATATTTTTTTTCTGTCAATGAAGAATAATTTAGTTTTTATCAATGGTTTTTCATTGATAAAAACTAAATTGTAAAAAGTAAATTGTTTTTTATTTATAACGAAAGAGAAACGTTTTTTATAAATAAAAAACAATTTCGTTTTTTTTTAAATAACAAACTATTTTGTTTTTATCAGTGGAAAGTAATTTAGTAGGAAAAAAATCGTTTTTTTTATTCTAATTCAAACAATTTAGTTTTGACCAAAATGTTTTCTATTTATAAAAACTAGGTTTGTTTTTTGCTTATGAAAATCAATTTTTTTTTAATGAATAAAAATCCATTTTATTTTTTATAAATAAACGACGATTTTTTTTCTATAAACAAAGAAACTAATTTAATTTTTACTAAAATGTTTTACATTTAGTTTTTACTAAATTGTTTTAAATTTAGTTTTTACTAAACTATTTTGAATTTAGTTTTTACTAAATTATTTTAAATCTAGTTTTGTACTAAATTATTTTAAATTTAGTTTTTACTAAATTTAAAAATAATAAATTTTTACTAAATTATTTTCGATGTAAAAAAAAAATAATTTAGTTAACAATTTAGTTTAATTTTTACTTAATTATTTTAAATCTAGTTTTTACTACATTATTTCAAATCTAGTTTTTACTAAATTTAAAAATAATAAATGTTTACCAAATTATTTTCGATGTAGAAAATTAAACAATTTAGTTTTTCAAATAACAAAAAAAGGTATTGAATTTTTTTTAAAAGTAATTTCATTAAATAAAAAAAAAAGGTACAGAAGAAACAAAAAATAAAACTTGCGACCTAAATACAAATACACAAGTTTTGTTTATTTTATTTTATTCTTCTTTGTGGTTGTTTTTTTTTATATAAATAGAATCGTTTTAAAATATAGAGAGTAATAAAAAATAAATAGACGTGAAACCTAATCCTATTTACAATATCGATCCTAATTACCGTATCTAATTACCAGTCATCCAGCGATACGAAAAATGCGGTTTTCTTTTTCACCTAAATCGACGCGAACATTGAGCTTAAAAGTTATTTCGATCAATCGCCTGGAATTTTCTTTCTTTATCGAGAAAATTAATTAATTAATTAAAATTAATCAAAATTAAAATTAAAATTAATAAAAGTTAAAATTAATTACAATTAAAATTAATTAATTCCAATTATTTTCTAAAGTTCAAATGAACGAAATATTTTTTCAATATAAATAGTTTTTTTTAAATAAATCTGCTATGAAAAATTTGCTGTAAAAAACAATTTTTAATTTAAATTACTTTGAATTTTTATAAATTGTCTTCTGCAGGACAATATTCTCAATTATATTTATTATTTTTCACTTTTATTATTATTATTATTGTTGTTATTAATTTAATATTTATTTTTATTTTTACAATTATTATTATTATTATTTTCATTTTCATTTTCATTTTCATTTTTTATTTTCATTATCATTATTATTTTCATTTTCATTTTTATTTTTACTTTTTATTCTCATTATTATTTTTATTATTATTTTCAATTTCAGTTTTATTTTCATTTCTCTATCAATTTTATTTGTTATTTTCATTTTTATTTTTATTTTCCTATTCATTTTTATTTGTATTTATATTTGGATTTTTATTAACTATTTTATTATTATTTTTCAGTTAATAAAGTAAATAAGTAACCAAAAAAAAAAATACAAATTTTCATTTTTATTTGTCTTTTTTATTTTTACTAATTATTTTACTATTTTTATTATTTGATCACTAAAGAAAATAAATAACTAAATAAATTATTCTGTTATTTATTTGTTTACTTGTTTATTTACTTATTTATTTTATTGAATTAATATTGAAAAAATACTAAAATATTGAACAAATAATTTCTCAAAGACTAAAAAAGCCCTAGAATTAAATTTTCACAATAATACAAAAAAATGTATTCTATTTATCATAAATTTATTTAAATTCAAAAAAGAAACAAATTCCACTTCATATTTTGTTAGAAATAAAAAAAAATTTCGTACATTTGAACATTATTGAAATTATTTCAATTATTTTTCAACGAAAAACAAAGAAAACTAACGAGATTCTTTTTTTTTGTGTTTTACAATTTTTTCTTTATAGTCCTTTTCCTTTTTTTCACCAAAATTGAGAGCGAAAAAAAAATTATTTTTTTTTAAAGCATTTTTCTATATATATATTTATAAAATTAAAAAAAAGAAAAACAAAAATGACTAGCAAAAAATTTTAAATAGTCTCAATTTTTTTTTACTTTTTTAAGCGTTCAATTTTGTGAATTAACAATATTAATTATTAACAATGATGAAATTAAAATCATCGTCGTAATACAATAGTTTTTTCTTATTAAAAATTAAAATTTGTCATTATTTCTCAAAAAAAAGTCTTATTTTTTTGTTAATTTATCTTTGAAATTTTTCCATGAAAATTTCTCAGATGAAAGTTTTATTTTTTTTATATTCATGCAAGTCAGGAAGTTTTATATTTCAAGAAAAAGAGAAACGAACCAAAGATCGTGGTTTGTAAAAATTAATCTTTTTTATTTTCGAATTTTAAGGTCCCTGAAGTTGGCGTCTGTTTTTATTATTTTTTGTTAATATTATTAATTATTAATTATTAATTATTAATAAAAGAAAATTATTTTTTTATTAATATTAATAATTGAACATTTTTTTACTATTTTATTTATTTATTATTCAAAAAACGTTTTGATAGAAAAGTTTTTTTTTTGGCAAAAATCGAAAAGGGAATAATTTTTTCGAGGGTCAAAAAACATTATTTGGAGGCGACTAAATTTTTTATTTCAAAGAAATTTACTTGGTTCAAGCAGACAATTTGTGTCGAATAAAATTTTTATTTGGAACAAATAAATTTAGGGCCTGAGACATTTGTTTTTTTTTTGTTCAACTCATAATATTTGGTTTGTATAAAATTTTCCTCTTCTTCCTGTAAAGGAAGTGAAATTAGTTCGACGCAAACTTCAGGGACTTGAAAATTAAAGAACACTTTTTCGTAGTCGAGAACCAAGGAGACTTTTTTTGATTTTTCGTTAAACTGGACGTAATTCTAATTTTTTTTTGTTATCTCCTGCTCTCCAAGTTGGTTATCAAGATTCGACGAACAACGTTTTTTTTTTGTCGTTACAAATATTTAACAATCGTTAGAAATTAATTAGAGGATGATGAGAATGTTTTGCGAATGAGGTAATGAAGGATCGACATGGGGAGAAGAAATTGGAATATCAGACTTGTCCTCCAATATCGGCTTGATATCGAAGAGTTAGATATTCAGCAGCGTCTGTCATTCGAGCAATGCTACGATGAAGACCACGTAAGTGACGTCGGAAATTTTCAGCGGCAATTGTTGCCATACGATCGCCATATTCCTCAGTCTCAAGACCCGAGTCATTTTCAATGCCAGCATCTGACTCTGAATCCGATGAACTTGATACCATTGACGATGCACTTTGTACACTTTGCATTGATGTTGTACTTGGACAACGTGCATGACCCAAACGAACGCTGCCATTCTCCGATTGTGTTTGACTTTTGTTTCGTTGAATGTCATCACGTTCAAGATCAACTTGCGATTTTAGTGTCTCCTGCGACCAGAGAAGTTCAACTTTCATCTTATTCACGATATTGTAGAGTCGATAGAGATCTGTATTGGCCATTGTGTCCTTGATGTTTGAGCCACTCTTGCCCTTTTCGCAAATAATGTCCGTTGAATCGCCAACAACGAGATCCAATAGCCGACTTGGAACGAGAATTGTATCCTCCATCTCGTTCACCGTTCGTACAAATTTCTCCATACTGTTGAGAATGCTCGCGTTACTGAACTCTGGCTCCTCGTGCCTTGCGATCTTCCGCAAACTGGTTCTGTAAAATAAACATATTTATTAGTTTGGAAAATTTATTTCTTTTCTTTTTGTTGTAAATGTGGATAAAATTAGTGTTAGGGATTGTAATGGGCAAAGTAGAAAAGTCCGAAGCCTAAAGGCTTCGGACTCATTTACTAAATCCTACTTTTCTACTAAAACCTACCATCTACTAAAACCTACCATCTACTAAAACCTACCATCTGCTGAAACGTACCATCTACTAAAACCTACCATCTGCTAAAACGTACCATCTGCTAAAACGTACCATCTACTAAAACCTACCATCTGCTAAAACGTACCATCTACTAAAACCTACCATCTGCTAAAACGTACCATCTACTAAAACCTACCATCTACTAAAACCTACAATCTACTATTCTTTTCACGTTATGCTACTATTTAGATACTTTTTTTAGATTTCAGTCATTAAAAGCTACTACTTCTGTTTATTTTAGAAATTCGACTACTTTAAATTCACTAATACTGGAAATCAAAAAACTATTCGAATAAATTATAATCAAATTCTTTAAAACGATTCAATTATTTTCCAAAAATATTCGAAATTCAATTATTTTCAATATCTAGTATTTTCATCAAATTTCGCAAAAGAATTCAATTATTTAAAAAAAAAATTTTTTTTAATTCATCCGAAATTCAATTCTTTTCATAAATAATAAAATTTCCACAAAAATTCAATTAATTTAGAATAGCATTTTCGAAAAAATTTCCAAAAAATCAATTATTTAACAAAATTTTTATACAATTCTTCACAATAATTCAATTACTTTCACTAATATTAACAACTTTCGTGGAAATTCAATTTTTTAAAAAAATTTTTGATAAAATTCTAAACAAGAATTCAATTTACTTTCATAAATAATAAAACTCATCGAAGAATTTCAATTCTTTTAAATAGGATTTTAAACAAATTCAACGAAAAATTCAATTACTTTCACAAATAAAGTTTTCCACATAAGAATTCAATTATTTAAAATTAAATTTTTATTATTATTTGTTATATTTCGAAAAATTTAATTATTTAAAACAAAGTTTATAAAACTCTTATGAAGAATTCAATTATTATCGAAAATAGCAAATTTTTTTTTGCAGAAATTCAATTTCTTTTAAACATTTTAATAAAAATTTTCGCATTTATTTAATTATTTTCATAAATATAATAAAATTCTTTTCAGGAATTCAATTATTTACAAATTTTTTATAAATTTCTTCTCAATAATTGAATTATTTTCATAAATAATAAAATCCATCACAGGATTTTAATTATTTTTAATCCAATTTTGCAGGAATTACTCAAAAAATGTAATTATTCTTAAAAATTTAATTTCAATTCTTCGAAAAAACCAACTATTTAAAAAATTGTTTCTTTTTAAATTCTTCAGGAGAATTCAATTATTTACAAAAATATTAGAATTTTTCACAAGAATTCAATTATTTACAAAATTATTAGAATTTTTTTACAAGAATTCAATTATTTACAAAACTATTAGAATTTTTCACATGAATAAAATTCAATTATTTTCAAAATATTTTAATAAAATAATTGTTCGAAAAAAATCAATTATTTTAAATACAATTTTAATAAAATTTTTGTTGTTGAAATAATTCAATTATTATGTTAGATTTTAATAAAATTCTTCCCAAGAATTTAATTATTTACATAAATATTTTTTCGAAATTATCCTGAAAATTCAATTATTTTCAAAATCTAATATTTCTAATATTCTAATATTTTAATATTAATATTTCTAATATTTTCATAAAATTTGCCAAAAGAATTTAATTATTTTAAAAAAAAATTGATAAAATTCATCCAAAATTCAATTATTTCCAGAAATAATAAAATTTCCATAGGAATTTTCCACAACAATTCAATTATTTAAAATAAAATTTTCATAATTATTATTATATTTCAAAGAAATTAATTATTTTAAACAATGATTATAAAATTCTTATGAAGTATTAAATTATTTTTAAAAATAACAACATTTTTCACTGAAATTCAATTCTTTTTTAACGTTTTAATAACATTTTTCACAATTATTCAATTATTTTCATAAATAATAAAATTCTTCCCAGGTATTCAATTATTTTCTAAAAAATAACAAAAATTTTCTCTCTGGAATTATGTAAATTATTTTTTTAAATAGAAAAATTTTTCATAAAAATTCAATTATTTTTAATGAACAACAAAAAATTTTGACGGGAATTCAATTATTTTCGTAAATATACTAAAATTCTTAGCAAGAATTCAATTTTTTTTTAAAATAACAAAAAATTTTCTTGTGGGAATTCAATTATTTTCTTAATAGAAAAAGTTCTTAGCAAGAATTCAATTTTTTTTTAAATAAGAAAAGTTCTCAGAAATTCAATTAATTTTGAAAATTTTTTAAAAATTCTTTGCAATTATTTAATTATTTTTATAAATAATAAAATTCTTCTCAGGTATTCAATTATTTTTAATACAATTTTACGCACAAATTGCTAGAAAAATGAAATCATTTTTAAAAATTTAATTTTAATTCCTGGATAAAATCAATTATTTAAAAAAATGTTTTTTTTTAATTCTTTGTAATCATTCAATTATTTACAAAAATATTAGAATTTTTCAGAGGAATTCAATTATTCTTAAATATTTTAATAAAATTCTTCAAAAATGCAATTTTATTCAATTATAATTCTTCGAAAGAATTCAATTTTATCGATAAATAACAAAATTATTCCCGAAAATTCAATCATTTTGAGGCATTTTAATAAAATTCTTTGTAAAATTTAATTATTTTCATAAATAACAATATACATCACAAGAATTCAATTATTTTTAAAAATAACATATTTCTTCTTAGAAATTCAATTATTTTAAAAAATTTTAATAAAATAGTTTGCAAGAATTCAATTATTTTTAGAAATTCAATTATTCTAAAAAAATTTAATACAATTTTTTTTTTTTTTGTAAAATTTAATGATATTTTTAAAAATTTTTTCGTAATTCAATGTTTTTTATTATCTACAATTCTTTTCATGAATAATAAAAATTTTGTTTGGAATTCAATTATTTAAATTAGAATTTGCATAAAATTAGTTGAAAGAAATGAATTATTTAAAAATTTTTATAAAATTCTTCGCAAGAATTAAATTATTGTTATAAATATTGAAATTCTTTGATGAATAATAAAATTTTTTTGCAGGAATTCAATTCATTAGCAAGATAAAAAAGAAGTAAGTATTTTTGATGAAAATTAGGAAAAAGTCAGGAAAATAAAATATAGAATGGAATTTTTGTCATTTTTGTCGTCAAGTTTCTATTGCCAGAATACAAATAGTTCAAAAATAGAATCCTTCTGGACAATTTGTCATATAGAATTTAAAAATTCAGAAACTGGTTTATAAAATAAAATCATAAAATACTAATCTATAATTTCAGAAAAATAGTCAATTTGAAATACAAATTTGCAAAATTGTATTCCAATAAATATTAGCAAAATATTTTGATGCAAATATTTATTTCTGGCATTTTTGATTTTTTCTCCAAAATGTAATAATTATTTAATTTTTGCAAAATAAAATTATTTATTGAGCAATTTGTAATAAAATCTAGAAATTTTTAGTAATTTTTCGAAAAAAAAGTATCATTTAAGCAATTTTCTTGAACAATATTTGATGAAAGATAAATTTCTCTGGGACTAATTAACATAACTCGGAACAAAACAAAAGCAAATATAAACGTTAATGACATTCGATTTTCCTTTCAATTTTAATGGTATAAATTAGCCTAATTATTCTTTTTCTTATTTTTTCTTTTTTTTTTTGTTTAACTGAAACGCGATATAATCGAGACTACTGCTTCGGAATTTTAAACACTAATTTTTTCCGACCTAAATTCTTAACCTCAAGTTTTTACGTAATCTAATATATATGCGCTTTACTTTATTCAATTTTTCATCGCTCCTATATACATATTGCACTCTATGCTTTTTTGTATTAATAATTACATTATTGTATGATAAAAATTATTATATTTTAATAATTATTGTCTCTATATTTTAATTTATTATTATTTTTATTTATTCTTATTTATTTTTTATATTATTCTCTCAAAATAATAAAAATATTTGAATTTGTAAAAATATTTACTAATTTCAATTAAGACTTACTTTTTGCTTTTGAATTAGTAAATTTTACTAATAAATAGTCATTTCCACTAATTTATTAGTAAAATTTACTAATTCTATTTTTGAGAGTTGTATAATATTAGAATAGAAAAAAATTATATTGTGTATGAATTATAATAATAATAATAATTTATTTTTATTAATAACTATTTTACTTTAAGAACTATTTTTATGATTCAATTTTAATAATAATTATAATTATAATCAATAATTATTTTAATAATAAAAAATTTTAATAATAATTATTATACTTTAATATAAAATTAAAATTATTAATATAAAAAATAATTGTTATTAAAAATTAACGTTTTTGTATGAAGAAATAAATTAGAATTGTTTGAAAATTGCAAAAACTAAACAAGTAAATTATGAGAAAAAAAAATAAAAAAATGTTTCAATTTTTTTTTTTAAATGCGTCGTTATTGCAACAAAAAGCATTTTGCCATTTTATGTTTAAAATTTGCATAGGTTGTGACCGAAGGCAATTAATAAAAGATTTTTATAAACTCCGTTGGAAATTTGACTTTAATAATGAATTTTCACTTCCTTTTGAAGAAGGAAAAATTTTAAAAAAGAAAAAAAATTTACAATTTACCTTCTTAAAAAGTAATAAAATTGTCATTTACCTAAAATATTTGCTATGACTTAAAAATAAACAAATTCAACAATTGACGCACGATTTACTATTTAAGAGACTGTGGCAACAATCAATTTGTTAATTTATGTCTGCAAAGAATATAAAATAAAGTTTTTAAAGACTAATTCATAAAAGTCTTTCGCACGTCATTAAATGACAAAAAAAATAAAT